ACTTTTTCTTCATCTCCGCACTTTCTAAACATTTCTATATTTCATTCCATATATCACTGTGTAGATACAAATTAGATTAAGTTTTGAATAAAAGTAATCGTTAGAAACTTTCTAAAAGTCTTTTAATTTCCGTCTGACTATAATCAACATACATGTAAATATATTCTAAATCTATCAATCAGTTAGCTAAAGGTCAATCGATCATTAAGTTATATATCAAAAAGAATCTAGATAATGAAACTTAATGAGAACTGATAAAGGACAAGATTATCAACATAAAATCATTTGAATTCACTTGGTATTGTTTTACTTGTATCTTTCAGTTGTTATTTAGGACTGTAATTGATCAGTTTCATGTTGAGAAGATACAAGTAAAACAACACCAAGTGAATTTAAACTTTATTCTATTGCACAAGCAGGTGGCTATTAGGAGTTATTAGGCAAGTAGATAACGCGATGGCGTTTAAAGTGAACGGTGCTGGGTTTGAGTCCCAGAGTGAACATCAACTTAGTGATGCAGGTACATCCAGTTGACGAGTCCCAAATAGAATGAGACGCGCATCCTGGATTCTACTGCTAGCCACTAATCATCTTTGCATAAAATCATATGATATTGATAAGTAAACATTGGAAGCTTTACATCTTACGAGAAATTTATTTTGATTGGTTTAATCAACGTTTTTAATATTTCGATTCATAAAGAATAATCATATGACATCTTTGTCAAAACATGACCATTATCCGAGCTCCAAATCTTCATCTTCAATCGTATAACCTAAAACTGTATTTAATCAATATTGTCTTTAAATATCTTACATCAATGTGATAAATTAATCTTTTCAATACATGCTGAGAATTCACCTAAATTCACCATTATGTTGTTAAATATTTGTGAACTATTATCCAACAATAAAAATATTTCCCCATATATACATATTGTGTAGTTCTTCTTTAATTAAATAATTATCCATCCGCATATGATACGTATACAATTAATGGAATATTCAGTAGGAAAAATTTATAGATATGTACTGTAATTAAATGTTTGTTTATATAGAATCGACCTTAATATTAACATAAGATAATTTTTGGCAAGCTACTAGGTGTATCCTAAACTATATTGATCTACTTAATATTTACATGACCTAAACACTTTGAAAGTGACTAGAATGTATATGATAAATATTTATGTTTCAGGATCATTATTATTATTATTATTATTATTATTATTATTATTATTCAACAATTACGTAATAACAAGCCATATGTGTGTCTGATCATATTATATGCAATGACGTCAATATGTAATTTTGGAACTGAAACCGAAAGTTAGAAACAAGATATTATTAGACAAAGATACAGGAATTTCCCAATAAAAGAATTAGTTTTTGATTGAGGTGGTTAATCGATTGATGTTAGAAACCTGGAAGCGTTAGACGGCCATCTCATCCTAGTATGGGACTCTTCAGCAGTGCACATCCACGATCCCATATGCGGGGCTCGAACTAAAGATCTAGCTTACACCGACTCGTAAATTCAACTATTAAAATCACTACAATCTCCACAAATCCCCATTCTAATAATAAGCATTCATTTGTATTGAAACTTGAAACACTCATAATATGAATTAGTTTATAATTTATGATACTGTTTTTTATTAACTATGTCAAAATTCCTAGACTAGACATTCTATGCTTCTTATTAAATGATCTTTATTTATAATGAACATATTAAACAACTTTTTTTCATAAAGATCCTTTCCTTTCACTTGTCATAAAAGAAGACACATGATATTAGTCTTTAGATTCTGATTTTTATAACTGTATACAGTTTGTATAGATAGCTTCACCATACAAAAAAATTGGGAAATATCCTATAATGATTCATTGATCAGCATAGTTCTTCCTTCTTACCTTACTGATATATATATATATATATATATATATATATATATATATATATATATATATATATATATATATATATATATATATATATATATATATAATATTGAACAAATAAGATAGGAATATGTAAACAATATTTAAATGTTATCAGAGAACACCCAAACAGTAATCAAAGGAATTATTTGTCTATCAAAATGTACCCAAAAAAACAGTATGGTTGTAAAGTGAATATGCCTTAAATACGTGAAAGATAAAGGGTAACAAAAAAAGAAGAGGATTATTGATCAGATAATAAGTCATTTACATTTAAACGGGAAATCTGTGTAATTATTGTTGTCTATAAATACAGGTTTAGACGTACAAAATAGTGAGAGTAACCTAAGAAAGTCAATAGAAAGGATAATATTCAGTGATAAAAGTTTAATCACGTTTAATCGACTAGATGTATAAAAGCACATACTTGGATTGGGTTTAATATCAGAATCCAAAGAGTATGTTTCATCCTACTTAGGATTCCTTGGATGGACAAGTCTGTATCCTGGTGTTGTTGTTCACATTAGGACTCAGGCCTAGTACGTGTTTGTTTGAGATATGAATATTTAATGCATTAATCTACTGAATCTAGATAGCCGAAAATTTGTTCATCGTGGATGAATTCATATGTTATGGTTTATATTTTACTCGTTGTTCTTACTAAAGACTCCAGATAGTTAGTATGAATAAAATACAAGCATTTGAAGCTATGATGATTAGGCTCAAGTCTCGGTGTGATCGTGACCAGGATTTAGAAAAGTCCAACTTATAGGTCTCAAATGAGACGAAACGAGAATCCTAGATTCCATCAATAGCTTCACTCTACATTTATAGGAACTTACGAGTCAGTAGCATTATGGAGTTAATTTACTCAGAAACCACATAGCCCTGTAGAGATTGGTTGGAATCTAATTCTTAATATAAACAAAGGGAATATCCAAATCCTAGCCGAAAAAATATCTTAATGCTATTGTAACACATCAAAAGCTTTGGTAGAATAATTCAATGAATAAAGGGGTTGAATTAATATTCTGATGTACAATAATGAATGTGTAGTGCGGCGTTGAGTCGCGGTTGACTATGATCACCACTACAGGAAGACTACGTGCCAGTTAACCAATAAGATCCCCCGTAGGCCAAATATAGGAAGGCAGTTGATAGCTGTAGTCGAGATGTATTTGTTAGTATGGAAAGAATACCGAGATCGTGCCAGGTTACAAGTGTGGTTACTGAGTGTAACCGAATTCGTGCAAGGTCACAATCAAAGGAAAAAATGTATGTGCTTTGGTCAAGTTAAACAAACAAGTACGGTAAAACAATCCGTGGTACAATTCGTTATAATAATAATTGTTTCCAATACACCAATCGCGTTCTCTTGATAAAAGTACGTCACTACAAATGTCTCATCTATGTGATGGCAGTATAAATCTAGATTATCGATAATCTCATTGAGGGAGCCATTTTCTAGTTTGCTAAAAAGAAATCAAAAGAATACTCAACCTATGATCATAAAACTAAGCCTCCGAAATTCTAAGAAAGTGGAAAATAGAACTATTACTCAAATGATTTTAGTGATTGAGTACATAGATATATAATTAGGGACTTGAAATTAATATTTATAATCATATATCCAATCAAAGTATGCAAATTATAAACTACTTGTCAACAATCAAGCAAATGATCAAAGATTTAAAAAATAAACATTCTAAGCATAGTTGGACAGTGCTTAACAATCAAGGTCAAGATGAACATTTCGTCTTACTTTGAACTAGTTATTTGGATGCACTTGCGTCATAGTATTGATATTCACATGGGGACTCGAACCTTCCACCTTTTATTTCAGGTCTTTAGTGCGTTATCCACTTAACTATTAAGTCTGGTTGCTATCAAAATGCCTTTGATACAGTGGCAATATCAAAGGGATCTAAACAAGATACACATACGCCAAAGTGACTGTTTGATTATATTCTACAATATCTATGGGAGGGTTTAAGCAACCAGTACAAAAATAGATTAAAAAAGACAGAAGTCTATATTACATATGATTCGTAGTTTAGTTTAAAATAGTTATACCCTTGAAAATGTCCCAATATAAAGGAATGAGTGGTAGGAATATTTAAGCTTAATATGATTCACGTAGCTCAATCTTAACCATCGATACCTTTATTGAATATGTGTAGGTAATAACATATAATTATGATGTTTATAAACTAATCATGGGATGAGATTAGCAGTAATGTTTTGAATGCTTACTAGATATACCTTACTCCATCAATTTTGAATCCATTTAGTTGATGGACGATGTAAATCAAGATTTAGTTTTTATAATGTATTTTATACCATGTTTTTACTATTAATATACTTATGTTTCTCATCAGATAAATTGAATTTGTGTACAATCGAGTGAAATTATCACGGAAAAACTAAACTTCAATGTATAGCAATTACCCACTGAATGAACAAGAGAATAACGAAAAGTACTGAAAAAGAAACATTTCATGAAAATTGAAAACTTTACAGATAACCTCTAGTTAATAACCTCATATTTTAGTCATTTAATCATTGACAAAGTAGTTTTAAAATAGAAGTGATTACCAAACAATGAGACAGAAATAATGACACTTACTCATAAATCCAACTGATATATCTGCTGAACTAGTCTCAGTTGTTATCTAATGTACCGTTAGTTCATACTAATGGTTACTGTGATATGATATTGTAAAAATGATTTTAGTTGTAAAGCGAAAAAAAGATAATGCACAGTCTATTCACAACTAATTTGCCTAAAACGTTTTGAATAATCAGCAAATTTGGCTAAACTGTATTGTTTTTGTCTCAGTTCTACTACTCCCTAAGAATATTTTCTTGTATTCAGTTATTAAATGATCAAATCAGGTATAAAAATATATCAGCATGAGGGGTTAATATAGAAGGAGTTGAGTTATGTAAATATTCAGCTTGTAGCGAACCTTAATCGTTTGATAAAGGGATACTTTTTATCCATAAAATTATTGCTAGATTTCAGCCTAATATAATAATGTTTTTTTTCTTTCTTTGTAGTTCATCATGATGAGGCTGGGGCTAATGTTAAATCATCTTCACCTAAACAATGTGAAGATTTTTTAGCTGAAAATCTACCAAGAATTGATACAGCTCGTTTAGCGAATGATCCATTTTTAGGTACAGTAGCCGGTCGATTAGCTCAAGAAATACATGACGAGTTTCTTGTTTGTAAAATATGCTTCGATAGTTATACAAATCCAAAATGTCTTGCGTGTTTGCATACATTCTGTGCAAAATGTATTGAAAAGCATATATCAGCTGAAGTTACTTATAATAAGTATACAGATTATCGCGATTTCACTTGCCCATTATGTCGAAAACGTACACAACTTCCATTAGGTGGTGTTAAACGATTACCAGATAATTTTCTAATTTCTGGTCTAACTGATTTAGTACTACGACAAAGAGCATCATCGAATGGTTCATCAACAGCTACAATTGTTGGTAGTCCGACTACTTGTAGAATTAACAGTAGAATAGAAAATAGTAGACAAGTATCAACCACTGTTAACGAAAGTATTGATTCATTACATCAGTTGCCAAATTTGGAAAGGAAGCAATTACGTTATGGAGAATGTGAAATTTGTTCACAAGTAAGTCGAATTGATAGAGGACATTCAAGTGAACCATTGAATAAAACAAATTCATCAGAAATCAATAGCCTAACTAATACTAATGACAATTATAACGGTAGTACTCAACAACGCGCTAGTTCAGCTTGTTTAAATATTTCACCAAAAGCAACATCGAAATGTTTAGATTGTAATAAACTTCTATGTGATGAGTGTGTTCAACGACATAGAAATACTAAAGTTACTAAAGATCATGCAACATTTGAGTTACAATCACATAGTGATATTGAATGTAAAGATCATCCAGGTGAAACTGTACGATTTTATTGTGAAGCTTGTTCAATGTGTATATGTGTTCTATGCACATTTAATGCACATCGTGAACATGAAGTAACAAGTTTTGGTGAAGCTGTTGCAAAATTACGACATGAAATAAGTAGAAATTTAGATACTACATGTCAACGTATTGGAAAAGTTCAATCCCAGTTACATAACGTCCGAGATGCTGCTAATATCATACATAGAATTGAACAAAGAATTCATGATACTGCAGAACATTTCATGGAAGAAGTAAGTCAGTACACAATTTTAAATATCATCATTGTTTGGTAATACTATAATGCTTCCTTTGTGAACAAATGTTTTTAAAGTATGTTCGAAATACCCCATAGTTCCGGTAATCACAAGCGAGAGAAAACGAGTTAACTGGAACACTACTCTATTTATTCCTGATTCCCGATTCAGATGAGTGCAAGGAAATGCATGAATAGTTAGATAGGTAACACGACCACAACGTACAAGCAATTAGAAAAGTACACTTATGTCCAAACCAGGCATTAGGGTAGAAATCATTGTGGTTGTAAATCATGAATCAAAAGAAAGCTCAGTGTTTATAGAATAACCTAGGGACGTTGAATTAAATGAATTAATGTCCACAAAAATAGCTTCCTTCATCATTATGGCTTCTCTACTTCTCTGTTCACATCAGCTGTAACGTAATCAAGTGATTTATAGTTTTTATTTTTGTGTCACCTCACTAGCAATTTTATTGAATTTTCTTGTCTGAATCCCCAATGAACTGAAATGAATTCGAAGGTCAAGTGGGTAGTGATAAGTCACTTCAAGTTAATTTAACGTAACGAATTGATTTTGTGATAACAATTAAAACAGAAAAAGGATCTTTAAAATGGAAGACTTTAGTAAGCAGCTTAGTTTTCCATAGTCAATCTAATATTTTAATGGCATTTAGTTTTTGTGTTACGGTTCTTATAGGATGAAATAAGAGTTAATATACTTCATAAAAGTTTGTAGATAGAAAACCTTAACAAAATTGAATTTTGGGTGAATCATTGTTTACACTTAAGTTTATGTAAACTGAAGAAATGTGTCGATCCCAAGTGTCCAGTACATAACACGTTAATTAACAAAACTTGGCTGGTATCATTCATAAATTAGGAAAGAAAAATTCCATTTTTCTACAACACCAAATATGTATTTTCAAGTTAAATTTATCTTCATATACAATAATTGAATGCCATCTCATATAGAGCTTCATTAAAAAGAATGATAGTTGAAAGAAATGGTCAAAAATATCCACCTTTAAAATGCCAACTGTATCAACTGTATATTAATGATTCATTTCTTTGAAATGATTTTGTTCTATTTGTAGAACTTCAATGTAAATTGGTTGATTTCAAGTCAAATTTAGTGTATATTGTTACAATAAACTAGATTAGTTACATTTTTGTCGAAGGATTATGACTAGAAATACATTTGCTTACTACTCTCTTTTTATCTTGATTGAAGTACTAGAAAATTACTACAAGTATTTAACTTGATGTAAGCTAATATCTACCATAATTATGTTCACAATTCCATAGAATCTTGTAAATAACATACCTAGATGATAAACTATTCTTTAACCACTCAGTACTGTATGCTTGAAAAACTTTATAAAAATTAACACAACATGTGGAATATTATTGTCTGAATGTCTCAAATACTTCCATTGAATGAGTTTACGGATAATTATAAATATAAAAGACTTAAAAACTAGTTTTCTGGGTTTTTTTTTAGTTGCCAGTGTTTATTTGTTTGAAAGGAGACTGTAGTTCTTCTTTCATTCAACTCTCATATGTTGTGAGGGAATAAATATTGTAGAAGTTGGGACTGGTCTTTTCAAATTACTATTAATTATAATTTTGTCTTACAGCAACTCAGTAACTAGATTACTATGTATATGTATTCCATTTATCGGAAGCTTTCAGTTGATGCATAAGCTACGGTCACACCGTTTATTAACCCTTATTTTGATCCCAGTCTCTTATTTACTGTCTCCACTTTAAGCTTGTTTATGTATAGCTGTTATTTTTCATTTAGTGGTGTCTGTATACAAACCACGTCTATAAAAATATAGGTTTAGTGGAGGCGGTTTGCTGCTCTTATGGCTCGTTGGCAAGGCATAGAGAGAAGCGTGTTATAAATGGACCAATAGAAACTTAGCTGTTGACTCAAATTTAATGGTGTTCCGGCGTGTAATCAACCGAATCAGAAACAGTAGGCTATGAAGTAAATACCAGACTCAAAGTTGACCAAATTAGGGTCAGGATTCTGACTGATGGATTGTCACGACCTAACATCCTAAACATTATATTATCCATCCCACGGTTCCACACAGTTTATGGGTCTCATACTAGGACGAAACGTTTATCCAGTCCTCAGATCTTCGATGGTACTCCTAATTAATATAAGTCCATAGACGAACCAAATTCAAACACGAATTTTTACTGAATTATTTTGATTTATATTTTCTGTTGATCCAAGTTTAGATGACAATTTCCTTAATTCAGTATCACCTTACAATGAATAATTAATTATTATTACCATAAATTACACTTTTTTACAAAGTGAAGAGTTGAAACTTCTGATCTTTGCCATACAATTCATCAAATCAATGTATTTCTTACCCTTCAGTATAAAGCATTGATGTATTCTATATCATATTTAGCTGCCTGCACATCCTATTTGTTTGTTGACTACAATACAATCATCGACATACATTCACTATACTTCACTTGTATGCATGGATGGTAAAACTGTCTATTACATGTCATATATGCACAGCATGTTTCTAACTTAGAATAAACACTTTAAGGTATTGTTATTGTTGTTGTTTATTCGTATTAATTTTGATGTAAATTATTTAACATAATTCATTCAGATCGAAAACATTGAACTGTAGTTTGTTTATAAATACTTAGTTCTTAGTCATCCTTGTATATAATTAGTGTTAAGATTAAGCGGTAACATCAATAATGTCGCCAGTTACTTTTTTCCTTTGCATAATCTTGGTATTTAGTCAAATTAATTTATTCGATCAATGAAATTATATACGATTCCTAAGAAACTGATTGATTAACCCCATTAATTAAATCAAGTTCAAATAGTAATACGATGAAGGTAATATGATTCACTTATATATGAATTGATGTTTAGATCTAAGAATTTCATTATTAAAGTCACTATTATTGAATTATTGAACATGTATATTATTTACACCAATATTGATTATTAAGTAACAATCAGTAATATATCTAGTTTCTTTCTGTGCTAATCGAATATTGTTATTCAAGATTGCAATGAAAACTAACTGTATACTTTGTTTATCTAGTTCTTTAACCAAGTGACCACATTGTAAATTTAATCAACGAAATTCGATTAACATTAGGAACTAGACAAAATGACTTTTATGATCTTCAACATCATTTTTTTGTTTTGGAAACCAATAGTTATCTGAGTTTAAAATTGGTAAAAGAAAATAGGTGTTAATAACTCAAGAATTTAATGTAAATGCTTCATTTTATCAACTGTTATGTTGATTTCATACACATAGTTCCCTTTATCATGATGATGATGAACAAGTTTGAATATACAGTCATCATGTTTGCAATAATAACATTTTGAGTTTATATAACTTACTGAATAACATGATTACAGTTATTAAATAACTGAAATTTCCTGCTCGCGGTTCAGTCTTACAGAAATCAGTCATGGATTAAAAGTCCCAGTGATAATACTACTTAATGGGTCACTAGATGACATTGTTCTGGGTCTTTGTAAAATTCAGTTTCTTTATAGGCTGTAAATATCCCATAGTATTGAGTACCATAATATTTAGAATCATGATGAATATATTTTTCTTCCTACATTTTCTAACCGTTCAACAACAGGACACAATTCAAATCATTTACCTAAGCGATGATGTAGTGTAATGAGGTGAAAATGAATTAAAACTTATTTATGATGAAAGTTGACGTCAAATCACAGAACCAACGACGATTGTATTTTTAAAGATAGTGGCCCGAATAACTCAGAGGTATATTTTCAGATTGTGAAACTTGATAAAGTGGAACGTAATTCTATATGATCCATCAGTTACCTCAAGACTACAGTCACATCGTGTTAACGTGTACTAGCTATAACAAAACGTAGGTCGAAAAAAATTCCCTACAGGTTACCTCAAAACCCTTAGTATATCGAAATGGTCCACTTAATATAGAGTCCCTTAGACTAATTATCCCATTACAACATGATCTGTACAATTTAATCATTACTAAAAGGCTAGATAAACACGATACTGGACAAAATTCATTGATCAGCTCATACCAAAACATCAAATATATATGGAGAGAGAGAGAATGGTGAATATAATTCCAAGAATATACCATTATTTACTTAATACATTTAATTATTATTGGAAATTAGAAATGAGACTTTAACAAAACCAATGCAATAACAAAGATTATTTTATAAGCAAAGATGGATGTTGGCTAACAATGGAATCCAGAGCGCGCGTTTCATTCTATTTGGGACTCTTCAACTGGATGTATCTGCATCCTAGAGTTAATGTTGACCCCAGGACTCAAACGTAGTACCGTTAACTTCGAATGCCATCGCGTTATCCACTTGCCTACTAACTCCTAATATCCACATGCTTGTGCGATGGAGTGAAGTTTAAATTCACTTGATGTTGTCTTACTTGTGTATTCCCATTGTCGTTTAGTACTGTGCATCCTAGATTCCCCTGTTTATGAATTAAGGCAATATATCGAGGCAGTCTATACAGGACGCACATATGCCAATAAGAGACTGGTCAGTTACAGTCTTAAACAACAATAGGAAGATCCAAGCAAACAATACTAAGTGTATTTAAATATTATTTTACTTTAAATAATTCATATGTTCACTTTCTTTTTTCTTTTCACTATTGAAGTATAAATGTACTACTATGTTTTTGAAGGATTCCTTTTTTTTTCTGCTTCTTACAATGCGTTATTTTATCAGTGGAAATATGCAATTATATGTAGTTTATGGTATTAGAGTTACACTTTCTACATCAGATGACTTTCAAATAAAATCATATTAAGGATCAAAGCCCAACAAATAATGAACTGTGTGAATGAATTAAATGTCCAATAAACTTTATGTATCACATGTTCATTTAAATTCGTTTTATTCATTTCAAATAATTGGAGTAATTCAACTAATTTAATTAAACCTATTCGAATATA